ACAGCCACATATAACAGAATATGGGGAGGGCTGAGATACACCCCAGAGCTGGGTGCAATGGCCACATATAACATTCCATCACAGCCCTCACCATACACTGTTACACATAGCTGTTAAACTCCAGAGCTAGACACACCTGGGTCAGTCCTGGGTCGACACAGTTGTGTCTGGAGAGATGAGGAGACAGTACCATGGTCTGCTACTGTGATCAGTGTCAGGGGAAGCTGCCCTGGTAATGAGGGAACTGCCTGGGTGACTGGTGGGGTCACCCTAAAACAAGTACCCCAGCAAGGCTGACAGATGAGGTGTGAAACCCCTGGCATGCACCCCCATTGGAAAGCTTGATGGGCTACATGGTACCAAAGGGTGGCAAAGGGTGTGGGGACAGTGCTGGCATGGGCAGCTTCCCTGTCACCTCGCAATGTTGGCGACTCCATTAATCCCCAAAGTCTGTGAGTGCCTAGGCAAATCCCCAAAGGCAAGAGTGCCTAGCTCAAATAGAACCCCATTTTTGGACATTAAAATAGGCGCTGTCAAAGTGGGGGTTAGGGGCAAGGGAAAGAAGACTGGAGAAAGACCAGGCTTGGCAACGGTTTGATGGCCAGTCAGGGCAGGTGCACCCACCACTTCCTGTCCATGCCACTGGGGGACTGTCCCAAAGAACCCTGACCAAAGTTGTGCCCAGCCCAAAGCGCGGTTTGTGCATGCTAGGCTACCAACTGACAGCCTCACCCCCCATGCCCACTGTACTAAGTATATGGGCTCGAATAAGGAACCTGTTTTGGGCTGGGATTATGGATGGAAATCCTTCTTAGGCCAGCCCACAACATGCCACTGTGGCACTGGAGGACTGTCCTGGACATCTTTGACCAGAGACTTGCCCGGCCCAAAGCCCGATTTGTTCCTGTGAGGCTGCCAACTGACAGCCCCCCCGCCCTGACTGCTGTACTAAGTATATGGGCTCAAATAAGGAACTGGCTTTTGGGATGAGATTACAGATTGAAATCCTTTCTAGGCCATTTGACAACATGCCTGTGTCACCAAAGGACTCTCCTGGACATCTCTGGCCAGAGTCTTGCCCAGCCCAAAGCACAATTTGTGCATGCCAGGCTGCCAACAGACAGTCCCCCCATGCCTACTGTACTAAGTATATGGGCTCAAATAAGGAATTTCTTTTGGGCTGGGATTAGAGGTGGAAATCTTTCTTGGGCCACCCCATGCCATGCCTCTCTGGTTTTTCTAGTTTTCTGATTTTCCTGGAACTGGGCTGTTTTGGGGCTGGGATTACAGCTGGAAATTTTTCCTGGTCCATGTGGTCAGGGGTATCCCAGAGAGTCCCCTAGTGTCACAGAGGCATGGCATGGGGTAGCCCTAGCTATGGGGTGTAATAGCCACATACAACAGTGCATGGGAATGGCAGATATGCTCCCAGCTCTGGGGTGTAACAGCTGCATATAACAGTGTATGGGGAAGGCTGTGAGACACCCCAGAGCTGGGTGCAACAGCCACATATAACAGTTTAGCACAGCCCTCACCATACACTGCTATTTCATTGTTGGTTAAAGTGGAGCCTGCATTTTAGGATCATTTGGGATTGAAGACACTATACAGAATAAATATAAAATATTACAATTGTTATAACAAAATTGAAGAAAAGAGTCACTATTGAAAATATGAATTCAGCAATACTCTTCTCAAAAAAGACCCAGTACACTTTCCCATTCAACTCTTCTGTGAAGATAAATTTTATTAATATTTTTATGTCCAGACATTTTTTTCCCCTAGAAGCTCCTTTTCTCCTTTTTCAGAGGCATAACACCTGTCAGGAAAACAACTTTTCATCAAATACCTGATATCTTTTTGTCACTGAATTGTGTTTTATTTTGTCTCAAGTTTACTTTGTTTAAGCCTCTAAAAGCATCCTGGTATGTAGCTATAGTAGTTTGTCCAGCCACTTCATCAGAAAATACTACTTTCAGCAGTAAATATTTCACCAATGATCACAGGGTTTATTTTTTGTTTGTGTTATTAAAATGCACTTTACCTATTAAAATGATTCAAATTTTTACAAGAAGTTGGATCTTGGTTGAGAGTTTGAAACAACAAATCATCTACTTCAATTAGTAGAGTAGGATCCCTTAGAATGGAAACATTTATTAGGGGTGTGTGAAGTGGGCAGTAGTAAATTCAAATTCAGCCCAATTCAGGAGACAGTGATTCAATTAGCTGATTCAGATCACTGTCTTGGTTCGATACGGTCAAATCTGAAGATTCGATTCTGATCTGGAAAATCACCGATTTGGCTATAGACATAGCTTTATATGTTTTTTCTACGTACCTCAAGGTACCAGGCACGACTCACGAACACTGAGATGGTGGGCCGGATGGAGTGTCCCATGGGAGCGCGGGTGGGACTGCCGTGTGCTCAGCAGCACACACGAAAGTGGACTGGAAATACTTCTGGTCCTCTTCTGGGTCTTCCGCTGAGCATACAGAGGACCCCCTCCCATGCTCCCCCAACTCAGTGATTTGTTGTGGGGGGGCCCCAGGTGCCTCCCTGGGCCCAGGAGGCACCAGTCTTCAAGCCAGGGGAAGGGTGGGGTTCCCTGTGTGCTCTGCAGTGGACCCAGAAGTGGACCAGAAGTACTCCTAGTCCACTTCCGGGTCTGCCACCAAGCGTGCAGAGGACCCACCCGTGCTCCATTCACCCCACCATCTCAGTGTTCGTGAGCTGCACCTGGACCTCAAGGTACGAAGAAAAAACATATAAAGCTGTATCTATGGCTGAATCATCAAATCTCTCCAAATCAATTTGGAGGGTTCCAATTCAATTCAGAGAGATTAATGGGTCTCCTGATTCAATTTGGATTCAGAGATTTAGGCACCAAATCGAGCCAAATCTCCTCTGAATAGAATCAGTGACTGAAGCTTCGCACACCCCTAACGTTTATCATATTGCAGAATTGATGGAACCACAACTCTTCCTATTTTTGAAAAGCATATGACTATAGTGAAATATTTACATGGCCCAGTGGCAATGTGTAAGGGGTGAGAACACCGGTGTACCCCCTGTCAGGCCACACTCCCCACTCAGGCAATGGGCAGGGGGGGCAGGTGGGAGCACTGGTGCCCCACTGCAAGTGCTGGCTGGGGAGTGTGCGCACCAGATGTAGGCCACGGCCACTTCCGGGAGGGCCGTGGCCGCTTTTGGAAGCAACGCAGCCACTCACCAGTTGGTAAGTTTTGCTGCGGGGGACCCCACCCCTGGTCAGCAAGATTGGCCATCGGGCACCCATACAATTAGATATGGCACAAACACGTCCCATCTATACTCGCATTATAACTTACCTTTACAACAGCGTCTCCAATACTCAAAACTATTTCAGCTAAAGCCCTCAAACCCATTCTAGGATCAAGTATGTGCTATTAACAGGCCTTCCTATGGTTCTGTGATGCACTGGAAGGCATCCGTGGACAATGCTGATGTCCCAACTAGTATCACATCAATTAATACTCAGAAATCTCAGAAATACTGGATTTGACCTATCTTGAAAAATGTAGTCCTTACTGAACTGCCTAAGGACACTGTGAGATAGATACAGCTATCTCTGTCATCAATAGGGTATCAAAAGGAACCCAAGCTACTACTGCATTTGTAAAGCACAGATTGCAGATTGTGTCATCCCTCAGTGAAGACTTTGACCATTCACAGACAGTATTTCTCGCATCTATCAGGCTACTAGAAAAACTGTCCTTTGGCTGATTGACCTTGACATCAACATGTAAGTTGTCAGTCACCTGTCATATGAAGGAAGACATCTATTCTTCATTTTAATATTAAATGTAATCCCTACTGTCTATCCAAATCAAACCTAAATTTATGAGGACAACTAAACATTAATTTAATTTTTCCTAGTCTTCTTTATATTTCACTCTCCTAAAATTAATATGCAAGCATAACTGTGATTGTAATTAGAATTTAACCACATCTTTTTTTATTTTTCTAATTGTTATGTATTGGTAAGAATTATAGAGTTCAGAATCCATGATGATAGATACAATATCAATCACAGAGAAGTAGACTGATAGATAATTTATCCAGGGTTCATCAATTAAGAGTTCCCATTTGCATTCGTTCATGAAAGATGGATGCACCTGTAGCTTTTAAAGACAACTCATCCTGGAAACAAGTATTTGACTTTTTTTTTTTTTTAAAACAAGCAGATATTTCATTTGTGGTATTTTCCAACCCAGTTAATATTGTGTTCCCTGAATAGAACACATATTTATAGCTTTTGGGTTTCTCATAATTATTTGAAAATTACTGGCTCACACTTGGAGAAAGTGTCATAAAAGAACAGAGAACATAAGGCCCTATGAACATTTTTATTTCTGGTAATTTTCTTGAGCAGGAACCTTATGTTTGACCTTTTATTTCTGTAATATCTACTACACCACAAATCTATATGCCTTAATCATATATGCATCCAAGGATTATCTCTAGAAAATGTGTTATATATTTAGATGTATAAAAGGCATATTTAATGGGATTTTTATTTGCTATTAAGCCTTGCATGTTATCATTAACACAAACTAGCAAATTCTATCTTTTTCCCTATCCATTCCCTCAGGACCCAACAAATTATTTCACTTCATACTCTAAAGACTTTTCCTGAACTGGTTTGGTTAGAATTATGCAATAATAGTCAAAGTCTTATACAAAAGCAATAGTAAAGATAAAAAAAAAATACTTCAAAGCAGTATCATTGTGGATTCCAATATAGCATCTCACCAAGAGCTAACTAGTGACTCGGAGATAAGGTTACAATAAATATTTCATGCGGCCCTAGGCAATATAATTAACAGTCTTAGAATGTCTTAATCTTTTTAACCAAAAGATATTAAATATTCAGAGTTTAATGGTTATCCATATTATGGAAAGAGTTATCCATATTTAGAAAGAGAAAATGGATAATAGAAAAGAGAAACAAAAAACTTACAATATGAGCAGCCGTAGAACTCAATTCTGAGACCAATTTGGCCCTCTCCATTCCAGTCCAGAGGAACTATGCGTACGTATCGGGCAATAACTGGATGTTGCAAATCATGCCGGACCACACTATCGGAATTTGTATTTCCAGGAAATGCCTAAGGGAAAGGAAAACAAAACTCTTATAATATTCAATATAGTTCATGTTGTAAGAATACACATAGGTAAATACATTAAATAAAAAAATTAAAAGTCATCTGAGCACTTAAGTTAGATGGCATTTTCATCCATTCCTCTTTCTGTTTGTGCCTGTATCAAAGGCTCATTCAAGAAACAACAGAGTGATGAATATAATAACAGATTAACAGTATAGGTCATGCTTCCTACTCTACAGTAGGTATTCCTGGCTTACTGAAAAGCCAGCTAGTGGTAAGACAGTCTTTTGGCTTAGTTAGAGAAGTGGGCACACTGGAGGGGAGAGAGAGAATCCAACTAGATCTAGACAGGTTACAGAGGCGGACAGATGAGAATAAAATAGAATTCACCACAGACAAGTACAAGGTGCTGCATCTAGGGAGAAGGAACCTGCAACATACATATAGGCTACAGAACACCCTTCTCAACAACACAGTGGCTGAAAGGGATCTTGGAGTCATTGTTGAATCCAGGATGGACATAAGCCGCCAATACGAGGAAGCAGTCAGTAAGGCTAACCGCGCCTTGTCGTGCATGTATAAGTACATCACAAGCAGGTTCAGAGAGGTGATCCTTCCCCTCTATGCAGTGCTAGTCAGGCTGCAGTTGGAGTACTGTATCCAGTTCTGGGTGCCACACTTCAAGAGAGATGTGGCTAACCTTGAGAGCGTCCAGAGGAAGTCACTCGCATGGTTAGGGGGCAGCAGGCCAGGCCCTATGAAGATAGACTAAAGCGCCTGAATCTATTCAGCCTCCACAAGAGAAGACTGAGAGGGGATCTGGTGTCCATCTACAAACTCACTAGGGGGGACCAGTGGAAAATAGGTGAGACTCTGTTTCCACGGGCACTGCCTCAGATAACAAGGAATAACAGCCACAAAGTGATTGAGAGTAGGTTCAGGCTTGATATCAGGAGGCATTACTTTATGGTTAGGGCTGCCAGGGTCTGGAATGGGCTCCCAAGGGAGGTGGTGCTCTCCCCTACCTTGGGGGTCTTCAAGAGGAGGTTGGATAGATATCTGGCTGGGGTATTATGATCCCAGCACTTGTTCCTGCCCAGGATAGGGGGTCAGACTTCATGATCTGTTCAGGTCCCTTCCAACCCTAGAAACTATGAAACTATAAGGTATAACCCCTCCCCCTACTCCTGGGCTTAGTTGGCTAACATTGTATTTTCTGTAACTCAGTTGCGTTCCCCTCCTTACCCCCATCCCTCTTATGTTAGTCCCTCACTCGGGTGCTCTGTATTTCCCTTATGGCTCTCTCATCTTTTTGGTTCATGATTTTTAACATCTACTATTAAAATTCAATTTGTTTTTATGCTGGAGAGACTGATTCACTAAACATTTGATGAGTTTGTTACACACAGATGTAAGGAATATGAATACTGAATGAAGACAGATTTCAGTGGCTGTACCGTGAACAGCTCCCTTTCCCATTCTCTCAAGGCACACTCTCCCCCATGCTTACATAATGTTTTATGTTTACGTAATAACATTTCCAAAATTTCTGCAGGACTGGAAACCAGCACAAGTGCCACCTATCCCTAGATACAACATGTACTTAAATATTTTGAAATTTTGGTAATGATCATAACCTGGCTTCTATCCCTAGCAAGACCATTTTTTAAAGTAGAAGTTAAAAAAAACCCAGAAGTTTGAGCAAGACAAATCATTTCTCAAGTAGAATACGGTTTCCAAAATTAATTAAGTCAGGAAATTGTTAAGGGCGGTATGGAGATTAAGTTGCTTTTTGGTACAATGATTCATGGTATTTGGCTCAGTAAAGAACAATACCTGCTTGTTAACTCTACTTTTTCACTCTAGTCAGCTCATGGGAAATCTGTTCATTTATAGCTGACAGATCTTAAATATAAAACAATTTCTCTATTTTAAAAGCTATTATTATTCATTTAATACTTTTTAACATGTTTAAAAGAACTTCCATATCTTTCTATGAATAACTTGCACTATAGAAAGCGAACAGAGTTCTTGCAGAGTGAAAGAAATCTCATAGCCAATTGTCAACAGTTATAAATATAATTGTTGATCCACACTCAGAGGGTGAGTACAGACAATCAGGGAAATTAGAGGGAGGTTAGATTGAGTTAAAAATGGTCACCCAATCTAAGGTAAGTTGGAATGTGGAGGTTTGGAGAATTGGGGTGGAAAGCAGGTTCCAGGGGTGGGTCAGAAGGGCAGGTGGGGACCATGGGGAGGAATGGGGGAGGATGGAAGGGTCCAAAAGGGGTTTTCAGGATCAGAGAGCCTTGTGGGGTTTGCAGTGGGGCTTGGAGGAATGGGGGCTCTCTCTCCAACCCTCCCCCCCCAGAACCAGGGACTATTTTAAGTCCCCCAACCCTCCACTCCAGTGAGCCAATGCCTCACACTCCCCCCACCCCAATTTACTTCCTTGGTTCCTAGCATTGGCGAATGCTGGGAAAAGTGACACCAAGAGTGGCTTGCAGGATGCGGGGGGTGGCTGACTGGTCTGTGTGATAGGGTTTGTCCATCTGGGGTGGGGGGGAAGAGCAAAGGGGGCTAAAAATAACCTGGTGCCAGGCGGGGGCTAGGGCTTTCCCAGCCCTGGGAACTCTGCAGCAGTTCAGGACATTTAGATCAGTCTAGAAATGGCTGACCCAATCTAAGTTACACTACTTTGGAGGTAGAGGTAACTTAGATAGTCCTGCACTTCTTTACAGCTCTCACTTTGATCAACCTAACTAGTGTAAGTTCTGCACCTGGGTGAACTAAGTTAGATTGGTGTCCATTTTTAATGCAATCTAACCTCCCCAAGTGTCTGTATGCACCCAGAGGATGTACAGTAAAAAAACTCATATACTGGAACTTTTGTTAGGGATGAACTTGTTCCAGAAGCAACAACAGTAAAGAATCAGATACATATTCTATAATAATGAATATTGCTGTCAGTCATACAAATCCAAACACATTCCTTCATTTTAAAGTGCTTTGTGTACACTGCCATAGACTGAAACATACTTAGAACAGGACTGTATAAACTGTACTCCAACTATTCCTGACAGCTCCAGGGGAATATTTTGTGGACAAAAGATTCCCATCATCCAGGAAGAGCATTTGTACTGCTATACTCCACATCTGACAAACTCTGTCATTTTCCTGACCAGGTCCCTTCTGCTTGCATCCACTGGGATGGATTGTACTTCCATGGGAAGAAGCAAAATATGACTCAATTTATTTACTGCAACTGTGGATTGAAACAGTGTACAAAATGTGAAACACCTCTTTCTTACAAATTCCAAGTAGAATCTGGCCTTTGGGGTCCCTGATTTTAGGTGTTTTATTTTTTCCTAACTGAAATTTAGTATTTCTTACATGGAAATTATTATTCATTTAATTTTTTGTTTATATAAAAATATTTCTAAGGAATTTTCTCACAATTTTATTTTGTATTTTCTTCCTAGCCACACATTTTAACTTCTCTGAGTACCCTCTCTTCAACAGAGAAAGACTAACCTGACAACCTCTTTTGAAACAAGCTGCCTCCATGTTTAGATGCATTATTTAACAAAATAGCTAATTCAGGGACAGAAACACAAAAATGAAGATTCCTATACATTTGAAAGCAGCAAAACTGACTGGAAGGGAAGGAGACAGGGAGAAACTAAAGCTGGCTGGGCCTGGGAGCTGGCAGTGTGGGGAATAGGAAGAGAACTGTGAATGAGTTGACTAGGGAGAAATACCAAGATGAAAAGAGAATCTAGAAAGATTGGGAATGGGAAAGGATAAGGAGAGTGAAACTAGAAAAAATGTAGAGGACTATGGATTGGGAGGGAATAAAATGGATATGATAAGGAACTGGAATGTGAGGAAACCTGTGCAAAAAGATTGAGCCATGGAGCTGTGGACAGGGGGAGATTGACTGGATAACAAATGTAGAGGAGACTAGAAATGGCAGCCAGGAAGCTGTGGATAGGATGAGAAGCCCTGTGCCTGAGGTGAGGATACATTGGGTAAGATGAGAAACCTGGGAGCAGAGAGTGAGGAAGTAAGGAGGTGGGTACTGATAAGTTTATGTAGATACGGAGCCAGTTATGGAGAACAGACAGGACCATGATGGGAGGGTCAAACCTGGGGAAAACAGACTGAAAGGTCTGTGCCCCTTTGATCATATTTCTCTCCAAAGCCAGAAATGGAACTCAAAATTCTTGAATTGCACTGTTCCCCTGCTGTCAACTAATAGCTGTGAAACCCTTCCACGGTATCCCATCCCTACTGAATAGCTATCCATTAGTTCAAGCTGCAAAACTGTGAACAGTAGACCCAAATGTCCAAATGTTAGGAAAAAATATTCAAGTTGCAAAGAAGAGGTGTCAAAATACAGGTAATGTTTGGGCAACCTCTTTCTTTATGTGCATTATGATACAGTCTATAATTACATAATCAGATACTATTTTTCCTTCTGTGGGGATGAATGAGGGCTGTGTTATAAAGGAAACTTATCTATAGAACTCCTTCTTTACTTACTACAAGAGGTGGAAGGTTTTAAATAAACGAGGCAATGATTGTAGGAAAGGACCCCTGAACACAGCCCTACCTCTACCACAGAATCCCAGCCACCTAAATCAAAGTTTTCAGAAAAAAACCCTCAAAAGAGGCACCCAAGATTATGACCTTGATCTTTCTATATCTCAGGCCCTGCTCTGTAAAATGGAAATAAAACTTCACACCTCATCTGGCAGTGATGCTATTGATGTTTGTAAAATACTTAGATGTTATATTGATGGGTAATATAATGAATTAATATTCTGTCTTCAGAGTAGAATTTGATTAGTGCACAGTAAATAAGGAAGCAAACTACCCCCTGAACAATAAAGATACAATAAAGTATTGAACAGCTGTTGAATCAGTGAACACTGACAACTATGCGTTCTGAATTAGGCAAGGGACATAAGGAAAACAATTTTGTGATCATGTAATTAAAA